TGTAATCGTTGTTGAGGCACATTGACCTCCTTGCTGTAATCGTTGTTGAGGCACATTGACCTCCTTGCTGTAATCGTTGTTGAGGCACATTGACCTCCTTGTTGTAACCTGTCTTGAGGCACATTGACTTTGTTGCTGTAATATGAGTAGAAGTACATTGACCATGTTCCTCCTCTTCATCGACTGCGGTCCTGCCTTTTCCTCTCATGGCGCCACACACCAACTGCACTCTTGTGTTTGTTTCTGCAGTGCTACAATTCGTGCCCAGTCATGTGGACGTGCGCATCTGCAGCTTCAGCGAGCGCGTTGAGCGAGGCCTCGCCTTGGCCTACGCGGAAGCTCGCCGGCGCTCACTAGAGTCGACCAACTTCACCGTGGAGGTGAGAACCCTCAGGGCCCCCTTGCCCTTCTCTGATTGGCTGCTGGATAGAGCTGCCTACCACACTTCATTAATTGCTACCCAATCAGGCTACAGTGCAAACTGTACAAGCTCAATAGTGCTATTTTAAGGCTTCATAGGTAAATGTGCTGTTCCAGGGCTACAGAATGACTGCTTGATCCGGTTTAATTTTCTCCCACTGATTTGCTGACTCGACTGCATGTGCCCGTTCACACAGTGGTTCCTCACTGTGCGCAACCTTGGTGGAGTCAGCTCATTTTGAGGGGGCAGGTTTGCCCCATAAATTACAGTGGCAGAGTGGAGATAAATCAAGCTTTTAACGCTTCCAGAACTTCAGGAGAAAGTCCTGCGTCAGGCAGCCGTGGGCCTAGTCAGCTTGTAATGTATCCTTAGCAAAACGGCTACACGGTGTCGTTCACATCCACAGTAGGGATTGGGAAATGTGCTTGGTTAAGGGACAGTCTGCCAGCGTGAGACCGATTAACCATGGGCTTTGTCGCACAGATCGTGAACATCACCACGGACTCACCGAAGAGCGTGCAAAAGGCGCCGGTGGATATCACGTTCGCCATACGTGATGCCAGGGGCTATGTGAGGGGGGCGGAGGTCAGCAGCCACCTGCGGCTCCTCAGTATGGTGGAGTTCAGCTTCTACCTGAGCTTCCCAGTGTTACAGATCGCCGAGCGTAAGTCTGCAAGCCGTTCCTCTCTGTTATCCATTCATCTCAAGAGAGATACAAGCTGATGGTGTTTAGCCGGAGAATGTTTTTTTAGAGGTAGTGAGCCGGCTGATGCTTTGCCCCTTTTCTTTACCAGCTTTTCACTACCCGGAGCTGAATATGACCCACTTGCTGCGATCCTCCTGGGTCAAGTCAGGTAGGCTGAAGCGATCAAGCTTGGGTCTGAACTGGTCACATTGTTCTTTGATTCTTGGTTGAAGATTTTGATTACATTTCTGCTGCTCTCCCCTACAGTTCTGCTGGGCGTTCTGGACCAACGGGTGAACGAGCGCACCTTCCAGGCCAAGATAGAACGGCGCCTGGCCCAGCTGCTGGGGGAAGTACTGGGGTCTGCCAGGCGCTGGAAGAGAGCCACCAGTGTGGGCAACAACAGCTTACAGGTGATTCACCCTGGCACACACACAGCCTGTTTGCAGTGCTAAATGCTTATATGGTAGGATGACAAGGCACTAATAAGATAAAACGCTAGTATACTAGCAGGATAAAATACTAGAATGCTAATATGATAAAACGGTTGCACGCTAATATGATCAAAATATAGGATGCTAATATGAAAAAATGCTAGTATGCTAATATGATCAAATGACAGAATGCTAATTTGATAAAACGCTAGTACCTTAGGATGATCAAATGCTAGCATGCTAATGTGATAAAATGGTTGTATGCTATCATGGAGTGTTGTTAGCCTAATTTAGCATAACTGCTAATATAAGGCTGCAGTTTCAGACCCGGATAAACATAATCCTCTCAGCCTTCCTGCCCAGGGAAGCTGTAAATGAACACATTCATAACCGTCTCAAAAGCCTTTCACTGCATTGAGATTCAGGGCCCGATTGGGTCTCTAAGTGACCCCACTCCCCCACCCCCCGGCACCTGTTCTCCCCTTGACATCATCTGGGCATCTCCATAGCAACTGCAGGCCATTCATCTCGGTCACCAAGCCACTCAGTAAGCCGGCTCTACTTTTTCCCGCTTTGCAATACGGATCCATTATTAATAGCTGTCCGCTAGACTGAGGATTTAAAAAAAATAAATAAATAGTATATATGTTTTTTGAAAATAGTATCTTGCTCTAGATGTAGAAAGGTGGGATTTTATCGGTGCCCACGGTGGCCCATGGGGTCAGCCGGCCCTCCTCCCTGGGCAGAAGCTGCCGAAGTGATAAACATCACTGTGTCCAAACCGCGGTCATGCCGCTCTCCCTCTCATCTTACGATGAATTATTCAGCACACGCTGAGCATCCTACACAAAGGAAGTCGCGAGGGATACTACTTTCCTTTATTGTGTCTGCATTCCTAATGAATGTAATCGTGCTTGCAGCTAATGAACCCTCATGATCGCAGCAGGACGCTATTAAACATGGTTATTAAACATGCGTGTCATGGTTATGGTGCACGTGTCTGTGAACGTATGCGACGATTACGGCGCATGTGAGCGGCTCTGCTGGGTGCGTGGCCGCCCAGATGTGCTGGGGGTTGTCCACAGCTGGAGTCACTGTCTCTACCCCCCCCCCCTCCCAGATTGTGCGGGCGTCCCGGCTGGAGGGCCAGGACAACCCCTTGGAGGTGGTGTACTTCGTGGAGGGTCCCGGGGGGGAAAGGGTTCCTGCCGCCACCAGCTGCAGCCTGCTGAACCGGCTGGATGTGCAGCGGGCCGCCATCGTGCTGGGCTATCGCTTGCAGGCTCCACTAGCCAGGCGTGAGTTTCAGGGGGGGGAGGGGGGGGTCCTCTGCCTTGGCGCTTCGTCTGTTTTTTTTTGTCTAGAAGTGCTTTGTTTTACACTACATTTACATTTATTTATTTTTACATTTACATTCACATTTTATTTAAACACCTATTTTTTGTATTTTTTTTCAATTTACACGGTTTATATTTTTATTCTTTAACCTTTTTTTTATTAAATTTTTATATTCTACTTATTTATATTCTGTTTTCTGTTTATATTCTGTTTATTTTATATTGTACTCGTTTTATTATTTTCTGTATTTGTAACCCTTTTTCATTCGTTCACTGACAAGGATCCTCTCCCAATTTCATTGTACTGTGTGCAGTGACAATAAAGGCATTCCTTTACATGAGTGCGCGAGTGCAGTCAGGCCAAGCTCCCAGTGAAGTCCCAGGCACGAGTGCAGTCAGGCCGAGCTCCCAGTGAAGTCCCAGGCACGAGTGCAGTCAGGCCGAGCTCCCAGTGAAGTCCCAGGCACGAGTGCAGCCAGGCCGAGCTCCCAGTGAAGTCCCAGGCCTGAGTGCAGCCAGGCCGAGCTCCCAGTGAAGTCCCAGGCCTGAGTGCAGCCAGGCCGAGCTCCCAGTGAAGTTAAGTGGCAGTGCATTATGGGAAGCCAAAAGATGACTCGATATTTCCTGGACTTTCTGGGCCCAGCTGTGGAGAAGGTGGCTGCCCCTCCCTCGGAGACCCAGAACAGCAATATGTGGATCATCGTGGGTGTGGTGGTGCCCGTGCTGCTGGTGGTGCTGATCATCGCCATCCTCTACTGGAAGCTGTGCCGTTCGGACAAGCTGGAGTTTCAGCCAGACGCCATGAGCATCCAGCAGCGGCAGAAGGTGAGTGATCCTTCCTCCGTCTGTCGCCGGCTGCCTGCCAGTGACCACTGACTCTATCGATACCTTTTGGTCGTCTGTGTAAATACAGTATTATCTTTTAACTTTGAGTGATCCCCGGTTACCCTTTGTTCTTATAGCTTTGTCTCTTGTTCCAGCTTTTCAGGAAGTGTGAGTAATGTGTCTCCTTCCTGTATTAATTGGGGGGGGGGGCAGCGATAAACCTTATGGGTCTGTCAGCCCCCTTGGTGTCTCTAGCCTTCTTATTCTCACACTACCTTGGTCCCACGTTTGGCTTGTATCGTTCCCATTTTTTCCCACTTTTATTCAATAACTGATCAGCACACGCCCTCCACACCCCAGAAGTGTGAGAAGTGTCCCTGCCTTTGTGGCACAGCTCCTCCTGTTGCTATGGCATCGGGTGGGTGGAGCTATCAGCCATTGGTCCAGGCCTCCAGGCGAAGCTGATCACAGGGGTTGTGAGCATCGTCGTGATTGGTTGGCAGGGGCTGATGTGCTTCACAACTGTGAGCATGCTCAATAGAGCTCTCAGTACTGTATTTCCTGGACTTTCGGTGTTTACAGAACGGTCTTAAGACTCACAGTGGGAGTGGTGAGATCATGCAGACCGTATTTTGGGTTTTAGCCATGAACTGCCGCCTAGCCTGTTGTTCGGGCTTTTGGGAAATGCTAGATCAAGGCCCTTCCTCAGCCCCTGTTCTGTACAGCATCTCTGCGAGGGTTATAGAGTCTAAGACCTAGTGATCCCAGCTAAATAGTCTCACGTTTGTCTCCATCAGTCGCAAACGATGGGGGAATCAGTGTTGCCGGTCTCATGCAAAAAGAGTGTTGAAAGCAATTGCGAGGAAGAGCAGGAGGTTTAGGAGGCGGAGGAAGAGGAATGGGAGAAGGAGGTCAAATGTAGCGGTGATGTGTCTGGTTAGGCCTCCCATGGTCTTGTGTTAAAATCCTCAGACTGCTGCAAATTTGCATCACCTGAGCTGGTAAGAATGAGTTGCCAAGAGACTAAGCAAATCCATGTTTAATAAGTAGTAATGACTTGATTGGTCCCTGGTCCTACTTGTTAATGAGGGATTTCTCAAGGTTACTAGTTGACAGTGAACTCGCTCAGCCCTCCGGTCCAATTGGGGTCCATCACGCCGGCTCCTCTCTCCATGTTCATTAAGTCCCACCCACCACAGAGAGAGTCAAGGCACCCAGGGAACGGCAAGGGTGGCGGGGAAGAGGAGGTGCAGACGGAGGCAGGTGACGGAGCGAAGACAATGGAGAAGAGGCGGAGTGTGACAGAGAGGAGAGGAAAACTGAAGGACTTGAAGAGAGATGGAAGGAGCAAAACTGGGAGAGGCAGCAAGCTGAAGAAGTGGACGGATGATGAAGAAAAGTGGATGGATGTAGAGAGAGCTGAAGCAGAGAGAGGCATGGAGGTACAGCATGGACCCGGTAGCTAGTAGATAACCCAACCGAAACTGTTCGGTATCCCTCCTTAGCCTACCCAGTCGGACCCTTTTGGAGCTCTTTCATAGCGTTACATGAAACGCATTTCAGAAGTTTGATTCCTCGGTCTTATACAAAGCCATCCCTTAGGTGTTCGGCCGTTCCTCGGCTAGTAGTGACCTCCGCAATGCTCGTAAGCTGTGTCGACTCCCCCTCAAATCCGTCCACGGGAATGTGATTACCTCCGCTGACTGTCAGGGGAAGTAAAAAATGAGCATAAGGAATTAAGTGTGAGAAAACCTCCTGCCGGTCCTGGGAGTTTTGGGCGCCTCCATGTCTCCGTGGCTCATTTGCATTCAGCTGAAGGAGCGGCACAGCGCCGCCCTAAAGGCCTGCTGGATTGACGGGCTCCAACAGAGAGGCCTTTCACAAGCTCCTTCCTCTTTATATTCACACGCGTCCTGGTCAGGGCTCCACGAGACTGGAGGTTTTTGTTTCTTTTATACCTCCATTATGATGATAAATATCGGCAGAGTGAGTGAAATGTCCTCTGTTCCTCCTCGGTACAATTACGGAACGCCCTGCATCGCCCTTCATGTACTGCTCCTCATCCTACAAAGAGACATTTATTTTTGTTAAACTACAGAATGGTCAGTCAAGGGCGATAAAACCTTATGAAGCGTTATAAGGACATATGAATGTTCACACGTCCCCCTGCATCACATGGGCTACTGGGTTTCAGTGAATAGTGGTGTTCTCTCTGCTGCTGCCTGCTGTTCCAGTGCACTGGAGGGTCTGTCTAGATATTTCCCAGTCTGTAGGGAATGGTGATGCAGCCCAGGCTTCCCTTCCTGTAGAGATCTTGCCTAATCCACCCAGCCCCCAGCCCTCGCTGCTCTGCTTGACGGAAGCTCTGCTGTGATAACAAGTTCTATTCCCCCAAACCTCTCCTCCAGCTTCAGGCTCCCAGCGTCAAAGGGTTCGACTTTGCCAAGCTGCACCTGGGCCAGCACAGCAAGGACGACATTGTGGTGATCCAGGAGCCCGGCCCGCCGCCCGCGCCCGTCAAGGAGATGACGCCCTCCGAGAACGGGGAGGTGCCCACCCCCAAGTCAAAGGCGTCCTCCACAAAGGCGTCCCGCGGCACCCGCCGCAGGGGGAGGTGCGTGAGCCCGCAGCCCCGGTCTAGGCACTGTCACGCCTCGCTGGACGGCCGTAGAGATTAGCCTCGCAGGCCTCATACAAAAGTTTGTTTTCTCTGGTCTTTTAGTTTGGAAGCGACCCGTCACGCAGGGTCGTAACCCTCGTCACTGACAGCTGTTTTTATAGCTGCGTCTGCCCGAAAGACGACATGTAAGGCCGTTCATTGTGTTCCCAGCTGAAGCAGAGCCAACCCTGATCATTAAATAAACACAAACCTGCTATTTGGATGTACTGCTCAACTCATCAGTTCTGCTGGTCGTTCATGTTGCCACAGGGCGCATCCAAAATGGGATACTTATAGTACATACTGAATTTCATCAGAAGTCTGCTGCTAGGCCGTCAGTGTGGTGCATACTTTGTGTATACATGAGAACAGTATGCAAGCACTCAGACATGCTGCGGTCACCATATTGCTGGATGTTCACCAGTAACGTAGCTTGACCCCCCACGAAAGTTAAAAACTGGCAAAAACAATTAACAAAAGCACATACATATTTGAGACAACTTATGTAACTGGGTATTGTTTTCTACTTAAAATCTGTACAGAGACATGCACTCATCTCGACAAAAATTTATGAGCAAGTGACCATCTTCGCCGACCCTGTGGTCTTGTGGTGTAGCGTAGCACGCATCAGCTGTAAACTGCAGAATTTAGCAGAATGTAGTCCGGGTACCGTTCACCTACTGTCTCTTCCAGGCTGAACATTTGGACATTCGGACTCACTCCATTTACTATATTTTTCCTACTGCAAAGAAAGCGAGTATCCACTTTCAGACGCACCTAGTTGTAGTACGGATGTTACAACACAGTCTTAATTACGGTGTCCTCCATAGGGAATTTGTTACTCTAGGGTTTGTTACTCTACGATATATCATTTCGGCATCGTCATCGTGACGTACGTATGTGCAATAGTCACATCGCAGGACAAGCGATGTAAAGTAACGCAAATTAAATTAAGCGGTGTGGACAGCACTTTTGGTGTTTTTGCTAAACTGACAAATGTCACACTGTTCTTATTCTTAAAGAATCAACAAAAGTCTAATATAATTTAGGTCAATTTAAAGGTTTTTGAATACAGAGCCGACACGCAGCTTTCCACGAGCAGCTAACAAACATATCGATCACAGAACGAACCACCAATCACAAACATTCTTAATCAACTTGCTCCCTCTAGTCGTCATTTCACTACAGCGTAAAAATGAGTGAGGAACAGGATCAAAACACTGAAAAAATGAAGATTTTGTTGCAAAAAGAAATGCGACGTCGTCTGTGTGGAATTATTTCGGCTACAGAAAGCATGACGTCGACCAAAAACAGGTCATTTGTCGACAGTGCCGTGCAGTTGTTGCCACAACACGTGGAAACACAACTAATTTGTTTGGTCATTTAAATCGCCACAGCAAAATCTGATTGCCGTCCAAAGCAAAAACACCATTTCAGATGCCTTTGCCAGTGTTACGCCATATGAGAAAGGTTCCAAACGACAGAAAAAAATAACCGATATGATAACTTTCCATCTTGCAACAGACATGGTACCGATTAACACCGTCGGCAAAGAGGGTTTTAAAAACATGATCCGGTCGCTTGACAAGTGGAATATAATACCGTCAAAGGACCTATTTCTCAGAAATTGCCATCCCGAAGCCGTACAAGAAATGCAAGGCAGAAGCTGAAACGGAACTTTGTGGCTCAATATTATGCAGCTACAATGGATTTGTGGTTCAACTGGACAACGGAGCCCTACTTAAGCCTGACTGTCCAATTTATTAATGACAAGTTCCATTAATTAGACAAACTAATTAGATTTTTTAAAATCCTAATATCGTAATATATATTGCAGAAAGAATAAATATTGCAATGTGATTTTTTCCCCCAATATCGTGCAGCCCTACTCTAGGGTTCAACACCGATTCTTCTGAAGCAAGAATCTCCGTACGGCTTCTTTTGGTAAAATGAGAGTGATGTCCCAGAAAGGTAGAGGTGGGTGGGGCTAGGAGCAGCACAGCTGATTGGACGGCTAATAATTAAGCTGTATCTCCTATGGGGCGATGCATGTTTTAACTGGGAATCGCCTGTTGTCCTGTGTGTTCTACGCTGTGGTGGTAGCTGTGTTTATAAATGAGTGAAACGTAGTGCAGCTAATAGATTGTTTTTCCACCAATGACTTTCTTTGACATGCTTCAGATCAAAAAACCCGCGTCTTACACACAGCGCAAGTTTCGGGATCAGAGGTCTCTATGTCCTGACAGGATCTCTATGTCCTGACAGGATCTCACCGTCGGATGGGGATTCCATGGTGAGCGAGCCGTCCAGCCCCAGGGAGTCAACAGAGGAGACTCTGCAGCCTCCGGCCACACCCCCCGAGGGGAAGCAATCCCGCAAGGCCCCCAAGAATGGCAAGTCTCCCCAGCCGAAGCGAGGGAGAGCATTTCCCATCTTTTCCGGGTCAACTCGAGCTAACTAGCCAGAGCGTATCAGAGCTGTCCTTCTGCCAGTATGATGCAGACCTGAGTCACCGAAGAGGAATGGGCCCTGTTATAAACTCACACCAATCTACAGGAGCTCAAGCTTATTTTCAGGAAGAGGAAGTTTTTCCAGAAAGCTTCTAGGCCCTCCATCCGCTGTGGGGATGGATTTGTTCAGCAGACTAAACACCGTTCTTGCTGCCAAAGGGGGAACGTCCATGTTATCAGCAGAGCGGGGTTTTGCTTTTGTCCGTCTGACCCATTGTCCTGAGTCTGTTAAAACGACCCCTACGTACTGGTGTGTCTGAGGACATACAGACCGCTCTTGCTTGTCTGCCATGCCGAGAGTTTAATTGCTGTCTGAGTCGCCTCTCTGCAGGGCTGAGTTTGCACCTAAGTGCTGATTACATCAGTACAACTTTCCTTTTACGTCCATTCCTCCGGTAATGTTTGGTTTTCCAAAATAGAGTTTTTCAGTATCCCTTTTACTTACTGAGATTTTTCTTTCTTTCCATTTGGCCATCAGAAAGGAGTCAAATTTAAAATTAAAGACTGAGTGTAGATCATTGTGTTAGTCCGGAACCCTCTGAATGGAGGATCTTCAGAAGGATCAGATTTTTAAATATTTATGATTGTTTCAGGGATTAATTACACCAAAATATAAATAGCATTCCTTAAATATATGCTAAATGGAAGATGTGCTGACTAAGTGAACTGTAATTATGAATAACTTCTGATTATATTTTTATAAACTTTTATATTCGTATTTCGGGGTGGTGCTTCGAATGGTGAAAGTGTTACTACTAGTGAAATGGGACTCAGCAGTAGTTCCTGTTGCAGATTAATGGGACATCATTTCAGATGTTTAGTATTTCGGTAGAGTTGCCCATGGAGGGTATCCGTCTCGGCACAGGCTGCTTGGTGTTTGGCCGAGGTGCCGTTCCAATGAAGGAGTAGAAGACCTGTGTTCTTTGCCCCAACAGCAGGCAGCTTGGACGAGCAGCTCTCTTCAGCCTCCATCTTCGAGCACGTGGACCGCATGTCCCGCTCTGCCGACGGGACTCGCCGCGTCTCCAACAAGATCCAACTGATCGCCATGCAGCCCATGCCGGTGCCGGCCCAGCAGAGTCCCGCCGTGACGGCCAGGGTGCCCGAGAGCTCCACCGTCAACCGCGAGGTGAGGCTCCGCCCACACATGTACATTTAACATTTACTCATTTCCCTGATGTTTTTATCCGAAGCAGCTTAGAGTAGGAGGAGGGGTTACAGTTTTTGGGCTCCCAGGGATCTGAACCCATGACCTTTGCTATAATGGTGCGTTCGTTTTTCTCTCGGAACTCGGAAATTCCGAGTTGAGTGACATCACGTCCGACAATCTCCCG